ATGAGGGAAGATGAAACCACACACTTCCTAGAGACAAGGAGTGACAGGATAGTGTAAATACAGTGAACACATCTCAGGGAGGATAAAACCACACACTTTCTAGAGATAACAATGCAAGGGTGTGTGAGTACAACAAAGACAGATCAGGGAGAAAGGTATGCACTGCCTGGAGATGAGGAGGCAAAGAAAGGTGTTACTATGGCCAACACAGATAAAGATAAAAAAGCACACACCAACTTGAGACAAGGAGAGAAACATGAGTGTAAGTATGACCACTGCAATTGCACGCACCAACTACAGACAAGGAGAGAGAATGGTGTATGAGTATGGTAAACCCAACAAGGGATGACGAAAAGCACTCACTCCCTAAAGGGACAAAGGGGGTGTGAGTACAGTGACACAGAGGGGGAAGGAAGAAAGCACACACAGCCTGGATACAAGGAGACAAATGGGGGCATGAGCATGGCCAAAGCAGATGAAGGAAGATGAAAGCACACACTTCCTAGAGATGAGGCAAATAGTGGTGTGAATATGGTGAACACAGATGAGGGAGGACTCAATCACACACTTCCTAGATATGAGGAAGCAACAGTGGTGTGAGCATGGCTGATGAGGGTGGACAAAATCACACACTTCCTGTAGACAAGGAGGCAAAGGCTGGTGTGAGTATGGTGAACAAAGATAAGGGAGGAAGAAACCACACACTCTCTAGAGACAAGGAGGCAAAGAGGGGTGTGACTACCATGATTGTAGAAGATGGAGGACAAAACCACACACCAACTAGAAACAAGGGGACAAAGGGGAGTGTGAGTGGGCAGGATGTGGATGAGTGAGGATGAAAGCACACACTGCCTGGAGATAAAGAGACAAGGGGGTTTGAGTACATTGAACATGGATGAGGGAAGATGAAAGCACACACTGCCTGCAGATAAAAGACAGAGGTATGATGAATTCAGATGAGGAAGGGCAAAAGCACGCACCAACTAGAGACAAGGACAAGACACACAGGAGCATATGTAGATGATGTAAGTATTCAAGATAAGGATGCGAAGGAAAAAAATGCATCGTCAGCCCAACACCAGGAGGTTTGCCATTCTACCACCAACTGCATACCTTTATTTCCACTAACATGTTGCTTATTGGCACTAACTTAAGCCAATCCATCTTTTGCTGCTATGCAATTCATCAGTTAGGTGTCTCTTTCCATGCTTCTGTCTCACCTCCAACAGCTGCCACCCAGTGGTGGCCACAGATTCAAACATGTTCATCAACCCCCCCTTTCCCATCCAGACACTGACAACCTCCTCATTCACCATTTTACCCAGCAGTGTCCACATCCTCTCATCATCACATGTTGCTCCCTCCCACACAGCTTTCTGCAAGTGTACATACCAATGTGTGACAGCATACTCATAGCCAATACCACACTGGCTCCCCACTTCCGCAATAATGTCTAAGCAGCTCCTTGCAATCTTGAAGTGCGCATCCCTAGCCAGGATCCGGAATCCAGGTGGTGCACGCTCACTCATGGTATAATCACGAAAGGATTTGTGCAATTGTGGCGTAGCGTCATAAAATGACGTAGTGGTGCCCGGAATCAAAACGCTGCGCATCTGCTGAAGGAAGTTGATGACGTCGAACTTGTCCTTGGGTATATCGGAAAGTAACGCAACAATTTCCCGAATGAGCAATGGCTCTCGAAGCACGAGGATGGCTCCCATAACATGCTGAAAGCCACCTAGTCGAGTAGCACGTCTGTCGTTGGCTTTCGTTGGCTTATACACGTCCTCCCACGACGTCAAGATGAGCTTGTATAGACCTTCAAGCTCGTCGAGGCCGTCCTCGCTGAATCGCTGGAAGGCACTCTCTCGACACGCCGTTCCGTCCTCGCCAATCCGCTGCTCAATCCAGTGAAGAGCGGTTGCGGCATAGTGGAATAGGCCGTTTGCTTTGTTGGATAGCCTCTGCAGTTGGTCAGGATGCGGCCAATGATGCCAATCCGGCTCATCCGGTGTAAGTTCCATCCTGTTAGTAACAACTTCTCTCATCCTAGCAACAACAAAGTTGTGAACTTCGGTGACAGATAACTTTGTCGCCAGGGAATACTGCTTGAACACCGCGTGATTGAGCTTTTTGGACGTGGAGATATCCGCCCAGTGCTCTGGACGCGAGGTAATGATGAATCTAATGTTGTTCGGGAGGTCACAGTCGATCGGAGCAATGCGAGAAAGGATCTTCATGACACTCCCAGATGCGTCTTTCAACTCGTCTAGGGCATCAATGAGAATGACAACCACATCGTGTGACTTAGAGAGTTCTCGGATCGGGTCTAACAGAAGAGAGGTGACTTGATCATCCCGACTCGCAGGATACCCATTCTTCAGGGCCATCTCAAGAACGCGAGCGACTGTCGGAGAGGATATGGCAAGCTGCTGCGCGATAGTAGGGATGATTTTGGTTGGATCGATCGTTTCGGGGATGTTTCGAGATATAAAAAACTGAGCAGAGACGGGAGTGTCGTTCTGACGAAGATTCTCAACAATGGTAGCAGAAAGCGTTGATTTGCCACTGCCTGGGATACCTGTGACCCAGAAGATACGCTCGTCGTTGGAAGGCTGCGGTAATAGCCATTGCTTTATATCTGCGAGAAGTTCCACACGAGTGCCGTCGGCGCAGATACTCTTGCTCTGATCTGTATGTTCGTATTTTGCAGCAATATGGCTGGCAAGTTTCTTTTCGATGAAGGCCTGGGTGGGATCAGTAAGCGGCATTCTTGATTAGCAACAAGCAACCAGAAGCAAACGTACCATACGACTAGCAATCTCCTGTTCTACCCGAATTTTTGTGACGGTTGTTGCCTGGAAGGAACCAATTCAGATTACCGTCACATCGGCAAATGTCGCCGTACCAGGAATGTTTCTTTCGCTCTCGTTAACTTGAACTTCCAGTCCTCCAAATCATCCACCGATACCGACTTCACCGACTGCTCGAGTTCAAAATCAATGGTTGGCGAAGAGAAAGATAAACCTACGACACGTTCCTTTGCCCATAGGCAAATCTCGTTCACCGCCTCACTAACAATGCATAAGCATTGTCGACATTAGGGAAAGTTCAATGAAACTCACCAAATCTTGTTGAGATCCCCTTTTACTGACAGCTCCTCACCAACAACCCCGACAAGAGTGCTAATGTACTGAATCGCTTCCTGCGCAAATTCATACACTCTCTTTTGAATAAGCGGGATATTCTGATTGACTATGTCAGCGGGATGGAATGAGCCTGACAAAATGGCGCACGATCCCAAGCTCAACTAGATTGAGCAATGCTTTAACCAGGGTTCTCGCAGGGATAGGGCTGTCGGGTATGAATCCTTTCAGCGCATCAAGAGTCTTTGATTTCAATGACCGATCGATCGTTTCTGCAAGTTTGAACCAGTTGGAGTCTCCGCGAGCAGCACCCCATTCACGGAGCTGAGTAATAGCGTCGCCGTCGATGTTCCAAGCTTCCCACTCGGGCGTAGGGTTCGTCTGAGTGGTGCCATGGGCTGTGAGTTGATATCTCAAATTCAGAACAGATAATCGCACCCCAATCCCCTTGTCTTTATTTAGTTTAGATGGTGCATCCGCTGTATCTTCGCCTGTTTAATGCTGTTCATGGACGGTTGGAGGTTTTTGGATGGAGACACTCACTGATCGCAGCTACGCCTGCGCCACCTCCCGTTTTCGACGACACCCCTTGAGCCGAAAGACCGGGCGTTGCGGTTCTGGAAGGCTGTGGTGAGGGTGCTCGACTGAATTTCGCTTTGATGTTGTTGATTCCGTGCTTCAGCTTGTCACCGAGTTTGGGCTTTCGCTGGACTGTATCTTTCGAGGGGCCTTGCATGGTGGCAGGAAGCAACGTGTAGGTGGTGCTGTTAACGCGGCTTCAGGCCTCACGGCTAGGACCGGTGAAAGTCATGGCTGATCCCAACATCGGTGGTTTTTGTCCGCTCAATATATCTTCGGTCAGTGATTCCGTTTTCTTTGCTGCACAGGGCTCTCAGAGCCGTAAGCGTGTAATGGTATCAGTTCAAAGCATATAGTTACTGATCCTGGTACTGCGTCGTCGAGAACTTGGAGTACAGGATCAAGAAGGACAGTTCGCATTGTCTGCCCCCTCTTGCTTCCAGTGCATTGGCTTCCCTTTGATGCCTGAGCGTGTCTTGTAAAATTACAGTATGAAGTGAATTGATACATTTTGTCGGGTATCTTTATATCTTAGTTGCGAATAATCAAGACGAGAACGAAAGAGTCCATCTATCCCAATACTTTTTTGATCCCCTCCTTTTGCGCCGCACTCAACCTGTCAGGAAAGACCACCTCCCACTTGACAATCATGTCGCCCTTCTTCTTCACGCTCCCGTCCTTCCTTATCGGCATTCCCTCGCCAGAGATCGTCTGCTCCTGACCAGGTTTGATCACACCCAACGGTGCCGCGATCTGCATCTTCCGCCCATCCAACAACTCCACCGTCTTCACCACCTTCCCACCATCATCTCCCCCCGCCAGCGCCTCGACAAGCGACACCCGGACCCTGCAGTACAAATCGTTCCCCTCCCGCGAAAACACGTCGTCCGCCTTTTCCTCAACTACAAACACCAGGTCCTGTGCCTCACCGTCGTGCTGCTCGTTTCCGGCACGCGGGAACCGAATCTTCGTCCCGCTCTTCCAACCAGGATGAATCTGCACCTCCAGCACCTTGTCTTCCGTTGTACCGTCCAGCAATCGCCGCCCAACTTTGAGACGCTTCACTGTGCCGGAGTAGAGCTCCTTTAGTGACACTTTGAGCGGTTTGATAATATCTGAGGGTTTTTCGGGAGGGGGTTGGGATGCAGGGTGTCGTTGAGGTGGTCGTTGTTGGCGCGGCATACCGCCAGGCATGCCGCTTGAAGAAGATGAGAACGAGTGGAATCCCCCCATGTCGTCGTCTTGGTCTTGGAACATTGAGCTGCCCTGGCGACGGCCAGGCATACCTCCCATACCACCCATACCACCCATGCCACCCATACTGAATATTTGCCTGGAGACTCATTAGGTATGCTGTATAACGACGATAAGACGATACTTACTCGAAAATCTTTTGAGGGTCTGATGGGGCGAACCCGCCTCTGCTGCTGCTAAATCCTCCGGGACCCCCAGAGGTAAACGTAAACGTTTGGGCCCCACCACCACCAGGTCCACCACCCGGGAATCCGCTGAACCCGGAGAACCCTCCTGGCGCACCTTGGCCTGGCGGTGGGCCCCCGCCCGTTTTGAGACCTTCCTCGCCAAACTGGTCATAAACTGTTCGTTTGTTTTTGTCACTCAGGACTTCGAACGCTTCCGAAATCTGGGGGGTTGAAGGTTACTGCTGAAAGAGACCAAAGAAGAAAGCACAGCTCATACCTCTTTGAATTTCTGGCTGGCTTGTTCTGAACCTTTGTTACGGTCAGGATGCCATTTCAAAGCCTGTCAGATATGAGGATCAGCGTTAGCATCGTATGCCGCAAAAGAAGCTTCCAATGACTCACCATCTTCTTGTACGCCTTCTTGATTTCCTCCTCCGAAGCATTCTTGTCGATTCCTAGGAGCTTGTAGTAGTCTGCGCCCATTCTGTGAAAATGAACAAAGTTGTGGGAAACGAGAGGTTTTTATTGGATTGTGGAGGTCGAGGAGGTTCTAGTAACTACCACATGATGTCACGCCGGTCCAGGCAGTTCTCGGCTTGCACGTCCGACGAACGGATCACGAGCTCATCGCTTCAAGCGATCACCCAAGATGGAATGTGGGTATGGTCTCCCTTTCAAAGAATGTGTGAGCAAAGTATGTAAATAGCGTAAAGTAGAGTAATGCTGTCCATGTAAAAAGCGTCGAAATGAAGTCTATTTTATGCCCAAATTGCGGTAGGAAGACCTCGCGACGGTGAAAACATTGCCATTGTAAGTGGTTCAGCATAAATTCCAATCCCTCTTGAACAGCCTCCGTAAGCTGCGGCATAATGTCCTTTCTACGAGAATGGGTGAAAACAATCTCAAATTTGAGACGTCAGAGAGAGCGTCGGACTGTTTCTCGAAGATAAATCTTGGATAAATCCTAAGAGATCTTGACTTGAAAAGTTAAGTGGTTGCATCTGGGATAAAATGCAGACATTCAATGAGATCTTCAAGTAGAGTATTTCAGCGCAAAGTAAAGTATTGCTGAGCGAATTTGCTGTCCGTGTAAAAGCGTCGAAACGAAGGAGTCTCTTTACGCCCAAATTGCGGTAGGAAGACCTCGCGAGGGCGAAAACATTGCCATTGCGAGTGGTTCAGTATAAATCAACTGAATATCCAATCCCCCTTGTACAAACTCCGTAAGCTGCGGCATAATGTCCTCCCTACGAGAATGAGGGAAAACAATCTTGATGCGCTCCAACTTTGTGATGTCAGAAAGAGCGTCGGACTGTTTCTCCAAAATAAATCCCAAGAGATCTTGACTCGAAAAGTTAAAAGGGGAGTCAATCTCCAGGACTTTTAATTTGGGGCAAAGAGTGTCGCTGGCAGATGGAAGAAAAGAATAAAGAAGTTTTTTATCCAGAAATGTCGGGTCAAACCACCTATTACTTTTATTAATGCGGGCTGGCTTCAGAGTGAGGGTGGTTACGTCAGGGATAAAATGCAGACATTCAATGAGATCTTCCATAAGAAGCCGTTTAGGATCTGTTGTAAATTTCTGGACTGATCTGCTCGACTTCCTGAGAAGTGTAAGTAAGGAGGGCTTCTTGTGAGGGTTGGGTGCCAAGGAAGTATGGTACTCAACCTCACGCAGGGCTGGAAGATCGAGATTTTCGAACATGCTGGTGATATCAACTCCCTCGAAGATGGAGAGGCATCTGAGGTTGTAAAGCGTAAGCGGAGAGTATTGATGAGGCGCCTCTTCCGGCATCGAGATCTCCAGACTGCAACGGATGAGCTGAGGGCATTGCGACAACAGATACATCGCCTGATGTAAGCGCAGTCCCTCCCCTAGATATCCTTCAATGGCCAGGTCTGTAAGATTCGCCCAGTCGACAGGATAGTCGAGGCAATCGCCTGAGCTTTGAAACAAAGACAGTCTTCGTAGTGAGGGTGTCCGAAAAACGTTGCACTTTAGTTTCGGCACCTCAGAAACAATTGATTGTTCCATGGTTGGAAATGTGAGATCTAAAGTCTCTAGGAGGGGAAGGTCACTAGGTTGCGTGAGGAGGGACACCATACCGGGACCTTGCGCTGCGACAGTAAGCTTCCTCCAACGCCGAGAAACGGAAAGGATTGTGTCAACAACGGGATGTGGTTTCAAACTAGTATTACGGTTGAAGTTGAACGGCCCATGCGTCCAATCTTCCCCTTGGATAAACGAAATGTCGACCGGGAGTGATGCAGAGCGTTGTAACCACTCTTGCAACGCTGCCGTTCGCAATTCTGCCACGCGGTTTGATACCAGGGCATAATCAGCGGGAGAAGTTCTTGAGGGGATGAGGGTTGTTCCCGGTATAGAAACGTGGATTGATGTCCACAGCTCTGGAGTAGATTGTGACATCGACCTCCAGCTGCTACAAACACGCCCAATAAGCAAGGGAGCTTCACGTTCCGACATCACTGCTGGGTGGTCTGTCGGAATGCAATTGGTGAATATCTCTTGAAGGATCTCTCGAGGGATCCGCCGAATAGGTGAGGTCAATGCACGATACTGATCGATAAGCCGGGCTAGCTCGTCGCGCTGACGTTTCAATGCGTCCAAAGTTGCCTGCGCTCGCTCAATCTCGTCATTCATTCCTGCAAGGCGCCCCTGGGGTTCCACAAGGATACGGGCAATTTCCTGCAACTCTTCATCTGATGGAGCGTAATTGGTGTTAAGACGTTTCTCGAGGGGTAGTAATGCCATGAGTGTTGGTTATGTTCTACTGAAGGATAAGAAAACATGAGTAATAGATGTCTGGGTATACCTACCGCAATGTTTCCCTGCTCAGGCCGGGAGAACTGTATATCGTGAAAGCAATATCAAGTGTCTGGACTCTGGAGGTTGAATTCGAACTCAAGGTTGTGGAAGGCGTTGCCAAACAAGCCCAACCTCTAAAGCACTTTTCGTCTAACCCCCGAGCCGCAATGCAATACTTAACCCCCAGCGACCTACTTTCCATCTTCGACCTCTTACGAAAACAAAAAGAATACTTGATACAAAAGCAAACAGACGGCTTGCTGAAAGAAGGCCGAGTGCTCTTAAGAACGCGAGTCGGAGTTGAGGGGGAAGATTTAGTAACGCGATCTGTCTTGGTCGGATGTCAGTGTTGCATTGAGTGGCTACGCTTTCTAAAATCGTCGGGAAAGTTTTAAGTCTTTGCCGCTCTCTCATTGTTACTATCAAGACACTACGATAGACACACAGGCAAAGCGACGTGGACACATGCAGGCGGACGGCGCACAGAACTGGAAAACTACGTGTACACACGCCGGAGAGAAGGCTACTCCAACCCCCCATTGCGGTCCCTCCAAGACACCTTGAAGACACCTGTTGCAGCCACATACTATGATACGGCCATACAAAGTTGCGCTACCCAATCTACTTAAGCCTACCGGATCGTTGTGTTTGAAGTAGAGTATTGCTGTGCATGTAAAAAGCGGCGAAACGACGTCTATTTTATGGCCAAATTGCGGTAGGAAGACCTCGCGACGGCGAAAACATTGCCATTGCAAGTGGTTCAGCATAAACTAACTGAATATCCAATCCCTCTTGAACAAATTCCGTAAGCTGCGGCATAATGTCCTCCCTTCGAGAATGAGGGAAAACAATCTTGATGCGGTTCAACTTTGAGATGTCAGAGAGAGCGTTGGACTGTTTCTCCAAAATAAATTCCAAGAGATCTTGACTCGAAAAGTTAAAAGGGGAGTCAATCTCCAGGAATTTTAACTCGGGGCAAAGAGTGTCGCTGGCAGATGGAAGAAAAGAATAAAGAAGTTCCTTATCCAGAATTGTCGGGTCAAACGTCCTATTGCCCGCATCAAGGCGGGATGGCTTCAGAGTGAGAGTGGTTGCGTCTGGGATAAAATGTAGACATTGAATGAGATCTTCCATGATAAACCGTTTAGGATCTGTTGTAAGTTTCTGGACTCTTCCGTTAGACTTCCTGAGAAGTGCAAGTAAGGAGGGCTTCCTGTGAGGGCTGGGTAGGAAGGTAGTATGGTATTCAACCTCACGCAGGGCTGGAAGATCGAGACAATCGAACATGCTAGTGGCGTCAACTCCCGAGTCAAAGATCGAGAGGCATCTGAGGTTGAAAAGCGTAAGCGGAGAGTATAGAGTAGGCGCCTCTTCCGGCGTCGAGATCTCTAGACTGCAACGGATGAGCTGAGGACATTGCGACAACAGATACACCGCCTGTTGTAAACGCAGTCCCGCCATTAAATATCCTTCTATGGCCAGGTCTGTAAGATTCGCCCAGTCGACAGGATAGTCGAGATAATCGCCCGAGCCATGAGACAAAAACAGCCTTCGCAATGAGGGTGTCCGAAAAACGTTGCACTCCGATTTTGGAATGTCAGAAACAATTGATTGCCCCAAAGTTGGAAATCTGAGGTCTAGAGTCTCTAGGAGGGGAAGGTCATGAGGGCGCGTGAGGAGACACAACATACTGGGACCTTGCGCTGCGATAGTAAACTTCCTCCAACGCCGAGAAACGGAAAGGATTGTGTCAACAATGGGTTGTGGTCCGCTAGTAAAGTTGAACGGCCCACGTGCCCCATCTTGCCATTGGCTAAACGAAATGTCGACCGGGAGTGATCCAGAGCGCTGTAACCACTCTTGCAACGCTGCCGTTCGCAATTTTGCCAAACGGTTTGATACAACAACATAATCAACGTTTGAAGTTCTTGAAGTGATGGGGGTTGTGTGCGGTACAGAAACGTGAACCGATGTCCACAACTCTGGAGTTGATTGTGAAATCGACCTCCAGCTGCTACAAACACGCCCAATAAGCAAGGGAGCTTCACGTTCCGACATCAGAGCCGGGTGGTCTGTGGGAAGGCAATTGATGAATATCTCCTGAAGGATCTCCGGGGGGATCCGCCGAATAGGAGAGGTCAATGCCTGATACTGATCAATAAGCTGGGCTAGCTCGTCGCGCTGACGCTTCAATGCGTCCAAAGTTGCATGCGCTCGCTCAATCTCGTCATTCATCCTTGCAAGGCGTGCCTGGGGTTCCACGAGAATACGGGGAATTTCCTGTAACTCTTCATCTGATGGAGTGTAATTGGTGTTCAGGCGTTGCTCGAGGGGTAATGCCATGACTGTCAGTCAAGTTCTACTAAAGGGTAAGAAAACATGAATAATATATGGCTGGCATGCCTACTTTACCACAATTCTTCACGATGCGTTCACAATCCGAAAGGGCAACAGGTTGTTGTAACTTGTGAATTGCTATGTTCGGCTACAATGGTCGGGAGAACCGACAACCCAAGGGGCCTGATTGATGATCCGCGATTGTATGGTATTCCAGCGGCTGGGAGACGTTGGGGAGAGTCGAGATGGTTGACCCAAGGAGCGGGGTTGACCAGATGGGGAAAATCCGAGTCAGGCGGAACGCGTTGCCAAACAAGCCCAACTCTCAAATTCACCACTGTTACCTTGAACTCAGTGCCCACCTCCATTTCTCAACATGCGGGCCACCCTTCCCCGCCTCGTCCGCATCATCCCCCGCTCGCTCTTCAGCCCAGGCCAAGCCACAATTATCCCCGCCCCCGAACCACAATACAACGACCTCCACCGACCTACCGTCCTCGACCTCTTACAAAAACAAAGAGACGACTTGGTACAAAAGCAACAGGACGGCTTGCTAAAACAAGGGGAGGAATGGCCGAGTAATATCAGGATTGAGGTGCCCCTTGAACGGAGCGCTTTTAAGAATGTGAGGAAGGAGTTGAGGGGGGAGATTAAGAAGCTTTTTAAGGAGCGGTGATGCGGTGTGGCTTGGGTACCAGGTCAGTGTTACGTTCGGTTGTCTACCCTTTCTGAACTTGACGGAAAGCTTTGATAGTCTTTGCCGCTCTCTAATTGCTATTATTAAGAAACTACAATAGACACATAGGCGAAGCTACGTGGACAGAGACGCAGGCGGACAGGGTAGGTAGAAAACTACGTGTCCGTACATACGACAGGGAGAAGGCTACTCCAATCCCCCATTGCCAGCCCCCTCCGAAGACGCCTGTTGCAGCCACATGCTATAATAAAGCCCCTTTACCTGCATGAGCTCCTCGTGTGTCCCTTGTTCTACTACTTTTCCTTCTTTGAGCACAATGATGAGGTCTAGGAGGTATAGCAAGTAAGCACATTCGGGTGAGCAAAAGAAGCCAGAAGTCAAGAGGACACTCACCAGCTTCAACAACCGTCCTCAACCGATGTGCAATGAATATACTCGTCCGCGCCTTGTCCAACAACGTATTATTGATGTTCCGCATGAGCTCAGACTCAGTATGCGCATCCAAAGCCGACGTCTTCCAACCCAAATCAACATCAGCTCACTCCAATCCAGCAAGACCAAAAGAAAGGAAAACACTCACAGCCTCATCAAAGAAAAGTATCGGCGGATCCTTCAACAAAACCCTCGCAACCGCCAACCTCTGCTTCTCCCCACCACTAACCATCAACCCCCTCTCCCCAACCTGGGTCGCATACCCCTCCGGCAGACTCATAACCGCCTCATGTATATTCGCCCTCCTCGCAGCCTCCTTCACCTCCTCCTCACCCGCGTCCATCCGTCCATACCTCACATTATGCATAATGTCCGCATGGAAAAGGGGCGTGTCCTGGGGTACCACCCCAATCGCCTTCCGGACACTCTCAAGCGTCACGGAAGAAATGTCCTGGTCGTCAATGAATATCCGACCCTCGGAAGGCGGGTAAAACCGGAAAAGAAGGCGGAAGATCGTGGACTTGCCGCACCCTGACGGACCGACGATGGCCACTTTCTTTCCGGCGGGCACGGTGAAGGAGAGGTTGGTGAATATGGGGCGGGCGGGGTGGTATGCGAAGGAGACGTTGTCGAAGCGGATGGAACCGCCGTCGAGGTGTAGGGGTGGCGCGTTTGGCACGTCCTTTGGAGGTGGGTTCTCTTCGACGAGTTTGAAGAGGACTTCCATGTCTAGGAGGTTTTGCCGCATTTCGCGGTATATTGATCCCAGGAAGTTGAGTGGGAGAGAGAGTTGGAAGATTAGTTGGTTGACCATGACTACGTCTCCGACCGTCATTGTCCCTAGCATGAGAAAGCAAGATCAGAACCACCACTTCTGGGAGAAGGAAGCGGGGAGGAGGAGGAAACACACCATTGACGACACCCTGTGCAGCCAAAAACATCGCCATGGTCAGTGCACTTGAAAAGATGACGTTTTGTCCAGAATTGAGGTACGCAAGGGAGGTTGAGATTTTGATGGAGGAGTTCTCATAATCCCGGAGGTGTTTGTCGTATTGTGCAACTTCATACTTTTCGTTGTTAAAGTGCTACGGAGTAGTCAGCGTCTGTGGGGTGGGATATGAGGGTACATGAAGAAACACACTTTCACTGCCTCAAAGTTGATGAGGGAGTCGACGGCTACAGTTGCGGCTTTGTTGTCCGCTTTATTAGCCTCGCGGCGGAATCGCGTTCTGTAAGCAGTACGAACATGTGAGGGACGTTCATAGATGATGAAGGAGGCGAAGGGTACTCACCTCCAGGAAGTAGTGCGAACGGTGAACCAAGTGTACGTGATCATGGTCAAAGCCGTGATAGCAGCAAAGTCCCAGCCAAATTTATACGTCTACCCTCGTCTTGTCAGAGAACCCCCCACATGAAATGAAAGATAAACACATACCAAAATACCACAAACCATAGAAATCTCCAATGCGGTAGGAACGATCCGGAATATAATAGCTTGCAATAAAAAGGTGATACCTCTACCTCACCCCTTCGTCGGCTGATCGATAACCAGCACAAAAAAACACGTACGTACTTGGTACCCCGATCAATCGCCCGCGTCAAGCCCCCCGTTTGTCGGGACAAGTGGAACCGCAGATCAAGATTCAATAGATGCTCGAATGTCTCCCTGGCGACTTTTCGGATGGCCCCCTGGCCGACTTTCGCGAATATTGCGTTGAGGAGCTCGGAGGAGAGTGTAGATCCGACGCGGGCGGCTCCGTCTATATGTCTCGTGTGAGCATGTATGTGGGGGAGGATAAGAGGAAGAAGGAAGACGTACATCCGATGATGAGAGACCCTGCAAGCAACCACGCAGTTGAACTAGCCAAAATGTCCACGTTCACATTCAGGGCGTCTACAATGCTTTTGAACAACAGTGGAACCTGTACGTTCAACACCTGCACACGACACTTCAAGGTCAAGCGTGGACGCATGGATGGAAGATGAAACGGACGGACCTTGGCGGTTATGAGCAGCCCAAATCCACCGAGCACCGTCAATCGAGTCTTCCAATCGTCCTTTGGCCATACGTTCACTAGGAGCCGTTTGACGATACTAAAGTCAGTTTTTCTCTGTTCCGCTTGTGTTGGAATTTCAGGCGGTGCCGGTGGTGGGGTTTTAGCTGGTGTATCAAGCTTTCCCTGTGGTGCACTTTTACCAAAGGCGCGCCCTAGACGAGGAAAGAGTTGAGCGCGATTCCGATATGGGATTGTATATCCCGAGAGCAAGACACGGTTGCTCAATGTCGGAGCGTGGTGGAAGTTGCGAGTAAGATGGCGGCAGGAATGTCGAGCTAGGAAAGATGAGAACATGGGGTGAAGGGCTGCAGACTGGATGGCGGGCTTGCAGTCTGCAGACCAGGGATGGAAGGGAAGCGAGCGAGAGCGGGCGCGTATTCAATAACTTCATGTTGATGACACATGGCGTGCTTCTTGGAAATCTTATCTGATTACCGGCCGCCAATGGAGATGCTATCGAGAATATTTCGTCTACCTCACAGTATGGCACAACGCCCCGCTTTATACCTAGATAGCTTTCCTGAACATTTGGCATGAGTCTCCACATTTTTGTTGCACCAGTTGTCGGCTTCACCAAAAATTTGCCAAAAATACGAATCAGGAACGCCAAACGGGTCACCAAATACTACTCCGTATCTCCTTCCATCTTCTTTCAGCGTAGAACTTCAAAGCAGTGATCACTTCGATAGGAGTCGTATAAATTTCGTCTTGGTGCATGTCAGCAACGCCAACTGACAACGCTGGCGGTGTCTCCGCAAAGAAAGAAGCCCTTGTATTTCACATATCACTGGGGACACGAAGTCCGTCCAGCGATGAAAACAGCACCTTGGAGGGTCGGGGCGGATAGCCCAACCGAAGGTCCAACCCTTCTTCGACAAGCCGCGCAAGATCCGGGACAAATTCCATCTTCCAAGCAAGCCAAAGGCGCTTCAACTTCGGTGCCAGAATTTCCGAGGAACCCGCCCCTTGTTTCTCCAAAAGAAATCCCAAGAGATCTTCATTCGACAAGTATGGCAGTCGATAACCAATGTGCAGATTTAACAGTTGGGGACAAATTGTTTGCCCGCCAGAGGCAGATGGGAGAAAGGAATAAAGGAACTCCTTATCCAAAATCGGAGTCGCGTTGAGGCCTTCGGGTACTTGCGCAAGGGATCGTTTGAAGATCAGAGTGGTCGCACTAGGGATGAGACGCAGACACTCGATCAATTCGGTCTTCGTGAACGTCTGAGGACTTGTTGCGAACTTCCGAATCAGTCCGTTTGATTTTTTGAGAAGCGTGAGCAACGAAGGCCTCCTGGCGAAGGATGGTGTGAGAGCGGTATGGTACTCGACCTCACGCAACACAGGAAGGTTAAATTGTCACTTCCAAGATGGTCAAGCTTTCGAGGTCGGGAAGTACGATCAAAGGAAATTGAACCGGAGTCTTTGCTGCAAACGGAATCTCCAATCTGCAGCGGACCAGACGTGGGCATCGCGACAGCAACTCCACTGCCTGAGGTAAACGCAGGCAAAAATTAGTTCTCCATTTTCTTTCAATGGTCAGATCTGTAAGTTGCGCCCAGCTCACAGGAAGCTGTGAGCAGTCTCCTCTAGGATGCATTAAATACAGCTTTCGAAGTGATGGTGTCCGGTAAATGTTTTGATCTTGTAGCGGAATTTCGGAAAATGCCCTCCCCAACGAAAAGTCGAAGTCCAAGGACTCCAGAAACGGAAGTTCATGGGGAGAGTGTGTGAGGAAACGCACCATAGTCTGCGCTGGTGCTGCTATAGATATCTTTCTCCAACGATGAGCGACGGAAAGGATCGTGTCAACAATCGGGTGTGAATGGTGTGATTGTAGAGCGGGTACAGAGATAGGTGGTAAGCTGTGATCCCGGTGGGTGAACGAGATGTTGACAGGAAGTGATCTGGAGCGGTTTAGCCACTCTTTCAACGCTGCCGTCCGCAAGTCTGCGATACGTTTTGCCGCAACCACGCGATCAGCAGGCGCAATGTCCCCAGAGCACAACTTCCATTCAAAGTCGAGATAGCCGTCTGGTATAGGGACATGAACCGTTGTCCACAGGCGAGGCGTTGATATTGAAATCGATCTCCAGCTGCTACAGACGCGACCAAGCGTCAAGGGAGCTTCGCGTGCTGACATGATCGCGTTGCGGTTTGTGGGAAGGCAGTGAATGAATATCTCTTGGAGGATCTCTTGGGGGATCCGCCGAATAGGTGAGGTGAGTGCGCGATGCTGATCGATGTGCTGAACTAAATCGTCAATGTCACCCTTCATCCCCGAAAGTGGTTCTTCAGGTTCTGGGAGCATATGGAGTATCTCATGTTGCTGTTCATCCGTTGGAGCGTAATTGGTGTTCGGATGTTCTTCGAAAGATATCGTCATGGATAGCAGTCTATGATCACTGGCATACAAAATGAAAAGACTCAAACGGTAGAGACAAAGGGCTGATTGAGCCTACCGTAAATTTCTTCAACGATTGAAGATAGAGAGAAAGCAAAGAGATTCAGAAAGAGACGGTCAACTGGTCACGCGCACGGAGGACAACTCGTCCACTGGGAGCAAGGTTCACGAACGCGTTCGCCGAACGGTTCGGTGAACCGGCGAACGCCCCACGGTCATGTGTCCATCCTCCTACCCGCCGTCCACCACCGTCAGCAATGGCATGAACGTTCTTCAATGGGACTTAAGTACTGTTATGTGGTAGGGCCCTATAATTCTATTCAACGATTAGTAGATTATTGCCTATATAGTTAGATTTCTCTTGATGGATCTTCTTCACAAGGTGCATCCATTGCAGAAAACGATGAAATTCTTCTGTAATAAGTACATACGTGGTGAGCTGATTATAAAAATGGGTAGAGACGTTGTGTTTGTTGGCCATGGAGTGTAGGTAGCCTTGTCGCTGTAAGACTTTGGTGGACGGGCGCAGGGAAATGCCACTGACAAAGCAGGCTGTGGGAAAGCGGCATCAAATGTTCGCCCGTTCGTGTTCACATTCAGCGTTCACATTCGCAGTTCGTGAACTTATATCCTTGTGGATGAGATTTCCTGCGCGCACGAGTCATCGTAAACTGTTGCCGGCAAATCGGGCCGCTCGACCTGCGGCTCAAGCGTTTTCGTTTTTTTTTTCCTACAGTTTCAGTATTTCAGACCCGGGTCGGCCACGCTCATGTCATGCCTACACATAGACTGGGACACGAGGGATACGCATGCAAGTACATAGCCCAACCCTCCTGCTAAAGGCCTCTCGCAAGTTGGCCATCACTACTGGAAATCGAAAAAACCTTCAACTCTCGTCCATCATCAGGTCCCCTAAAACAACGTCGTCAAAATATGGGGATGAAGGATTTTTGGAAAACCAAAGTGAGTAAAGCGGGAGATACCCATTTCACCGATGCCAAGCCGGGCGACATCATTGTCCCGTAGGTATCCTTGAACTGATTTCGGTTAATTGCGCTGACTGCTTCCATAGTCACTGATAGATGGGCCCCACAGGCGTTGGAAAGAGCTCGGTCGGTTCTCATGGTTGGATCCGCTTACTCGTCACTTATACCTGTCTACAAGTTCATCAACTCCTACCTGGGCCAGGAAAAGGCACAAGTGGGTCACGATACTCGTGCACTGCGACCCTCCAGCCTTTTGTCAACGATCTCCCGCCAGACGAGTCCGGGAAGCCCAGGCGCCTTGTTCTTGTTGACACACCAGGGTTTGATGACACCAACGAAGCGGACTCAGAAATCTTGAGGCAAATTGCAGTGTGGCTAGCATCGTCGTGAGCTCAGCATATTTTTGCTACCTGCTACGTCATGTCTAACTTGACGAAGCTATGGTCCGGGGAAGACATGTGGCGGTCTCGTCTATCTCCATGTTATAACCGAGGGGCGCATGCGAGGCACTACTTTCAAGAATCTTAGAGTATTTCAAGGGCTTTGCGGGGAAAAAAAAATTAGAGCCGTCGTTTTCGGGACCACAAAATCTGGTAAACTTACGCCTGAAGCATTTGCTAGACGTGAGAAGCATTTATCCGACACGTATTGGAAGAATTTCACGGAGAAGGGGGCAATAGTTTTCAAGCTCCTTCCTTCGCACGATTCGGCGCTAGTCTCTCCTAGACAGACTTCGATATATGTGAAGTCGTACCTTGTTTCACGATATATGAAATTCGGCGCGCCAGTTACTTCAGACAGTTCTTGACAGAGTACAGAGGGAGGAGCGTGTCTTGCTCGTTCAAAAAGAGCTAGTTGATCTCAATAAGAAACTTCCCGCTACGGAGGCAGCGAAGGAGTTGAGGTTTACCTTGAACCTGGTCATAAAGCAACAGGCCCAGAGATACCTTGCTGGTGATAACCTCACCGAAGAGCAAACCGCAGAGTACGAACAAAAAATTGCGACGGTCGCTCTACAAATCAAAACAGTTGACGACGGAACTTTCGTTCTCGCAACGTCTTTCGAGGTTCTTTGGGCTGGTGAGTTGTTTCGCATTCTCTATAATCATTTATCGCTTGTCTCAAGGCGGTTGAGGAAGACGCAATACTTAGCTCTGCAGTCACGGCAAAATATATGATCTACTTGACTTGAACCTCGTTCAGAGTATATGTGCATCGCACCGAGCTCGTAACATAATTTATTTTTCTGATGAGCGGCGAGACTTGTCCCACAAAGGTCGAGTGACAAGCGAGATAATCATATCATATGCAAGAACTGAATCCACCAGACTCAACGCAAATTTCTATGTGTGGTTTAAGTTGTGGACGATTAATCCACGTTCGATCGTTTCAGGTTCTTTTAATCCTTGCTCTCCGAGGGAAGGGAGGCCAGTTCGGTCCACTTTGTCGTACCAAAGACAACGCTACGCAAAGCCCGGCCAGTCCCCACAAAGTTTCTTGAGCGCCTCAAGGTTCCTCAGAGCAGTAACTTTCATTCGGTGCAAGAAGATGTTGAAGGTAGATGGGACTTCGGATCAGCGTTGTGGATTCTATGAGTTAAGGCTCGTTGCGACAGCTTCAAAGCCATTGACCCCACATGAGCAATGGGCTTCAAACTTCTGATTCCGTTGCAGAGGTGTCATCAAGTCCAGGAGCACCGACAAGCATCGGCCAGCAACATTCTTCAAGTTAAGGAACAGGATCTGAAACCATCTTGGAGGTGCTGCGACTGGTCTTGGATGACAATCTACAATACAAAATGAGAAGACAGAGACAGAGGGCTGGTTCAGCCTACTGTGATTTCCCTCAACGATCGAAGAGAGAATCGGCTCCAAGAACAATATCATGAACTGTTGCCAATTGTTGTCGGCAAATTGGGTTCCTGAAGCGCTTAGCGATGCTACGTATACCTCTGAGAGAACGGTGCACAGACCACCAATTAATATAGTCGACGAACAATGAATAAATCGGAGAGTGGTACTGTAAAATATTCGTCATCGTATCCATGACCAAGTATCACAGAGGTCTGGGTCCAATTGATTAACGATGGTAAGAAAATGGAGATGTAGGCACTCACCTAACATAGGTATCATTATAAAATGTCGGATTGAACAGAAAAAGTTAACTTAAGGTGCTGAGCATGCATACCAAAGCCAATGCTCACTTCCAACCTCATAGTCATGTGAGGTCGATAACCCCTCCGGGCAGAGTAGTGAAATTCATCTTGACTGAGGTATCTTCTTTCTTTACTTTCTTCCGTGGATGGTTTGGGTTCCCTTGACCGCGCCTTGCGCGAACCTCAGCGAGCTTGGCCTAGAGTCGGATTGAGAAGAGGATACTTGACTGAGATCAGGAAGTGTTGAAAGCCTGTGCTTACCAATAAGGCCTTCTCCTCGTCATCAGCGTCCTCGTCACCATCCTCCGCATCATCTTGACGATCCTCCTCCTTTATCGAAAGAGACTTGCGCTTCACTCCCACCCTTGCAGGTTCAGGCATTTGAGGTTGGGGCTCCGGAGACGGCGGAGCAATACCGTTTGCTTGAAGCATATCTAAACAAACATCAGCGATTGAAATTGACGACGCCGACGACACAAAGGCTGCCTACCGATATTCCTGTATTTGAACACAAAATTGGCAAGCCTCTCTACTCGTTCTATTTTCCACGAGCTGGTTGAATTAGATACGACTTTCTCCTCCCCAAACCTACAAAGAGTCAATGAAGGGAGCATAGCTTGCAAGCCACTTACCCGATCCTATGCACCACTGCCTTCTTTGAGCGTTCATGAACCTTTTGGTCCAGTGACGGTGTCATCGACTTCTGAAGAGCCTTTAACTGCAGGGGTACCACTCTATTGATCTGCAAGCGAATTTCCCCAATATCTCCATCGGCTGAAAGGTATGCATCGTCGTCTGAACATGGTGAGTTGAGGAGAAAAACGATGTACACGTAGGATCTGCCAGACCTGTAACTTCAAGAGACGAGAACATGTAAGGCCGCTCAGTTGTGGGAGACGTGAAGCAACTTCGGTGCTCCATCACAGACGTGGCACTGCAAAGGGGACCGCGAATTTTGCCTGACACCCATTTGCCATCGAGGCGTAAGTCTCCATTACAGTGGAATGGGACTATTGGAGCCTTCCAGCAGACCTGAAACGTCTGAAAAAGTCATTAAACACGAGCAATAGATGGAGGAAAGAGTAAAGAGACGTACCTTCCCCAATTCAGACGCAATCCAGCACGTCACCAGCTTCTCTTGCTTGTTAAACTCAACAGCGTACTCTTCCCTCCTCGCCCCATCGGGCCCATCTAGGGTTACCCATGCTTCAAATTGACCTTGAAAAGATACCATTTGACTCGGCGTATACAACAAGGTTGGTTCCGAGTCAAAGTGCATTGAAGCTCCAAACAGAATATACAGAACTCACGTGACTCTTCATTCACCATCCAACGGTCAAGGAGTTTCCCGAACGTTGAAATCGTCGAGATCTTGGCGCCATCACTCTGACCTATAAAAACCCTTTAATGAGTTCAGGAGGTCCACGATCTTGCCCCACAAAGTTGTTATTCGACACACCCGTTCCCGCGTTTCAATATTGGTTCGACATCCTTCTTATAATTCCAATCCTTCCTTGCCTCTGCCACACTGTAACATCAAGCAGGATCTATCACGCATGCATATCTATCTCTGATTACCATTCTTTTCTGATGAGCGATTCTTCTCGGCCTTTCCACCTACCTTGCTCCATCATTTATCGTGACTTTCACTCTTGTAGGCTTCAACATCGGTTCTACATTCTCCTCCCAGTCGCAATCCAAGTCCTTGTTTCTGCACCGTAACATCAATTGGGCTCCATCAGGTATATATATCCTTCTTTTCAGACAGTTCACCTACTTTCTACATCATTTATCGTTCCGCAACTTCCAAATAGCAGAAGCCTCTAGTCAATCAAGAAACAACTCACACAGATGTCCCTGTTAACTCAATGGCAGACATCCCTTCCGGGCTCTGGATACGAGGTCACCACCGTGCTCGCCAATCAGAAAGCCGTATATGCCGGAAGCAACGGATACGTTTACCTGCTGGACTGCTTGAAAGGAAGTGTCTTGGCGACCAATACTTTGAGTGGCATGGGTGACCATGAAATACGGCTGGCGCAGCCCGAAGATGGCTCGTTGCTCCTTGTGGGAACGAATGGCTACGTGCTGGGGCTAGATCCCACATCACTAAACACATTGTGGCAGACGAGCCTACTACACTGCGGTTATGAGGTGGTCTCAGTGCTGTGTGCGAATGGAAGCGCGTTTGCTGGCTGTAATGGTTATGTGTATCGACTGGACCAGGGAAGCGGCGAGGTGTTAAGTACTAATTCGCTCGTCGGCCGTGGTGATTACGAGGTGCGCCTGGGGATCTCTCTCGATTTATCCACTTTGTTCGTTGGCATCAATGGGTATGCGCTGGGTTTGGATCCTACTAACCTGACAACGAGTTGGCAAACCACTGCTTGCTAGGGTGCGGCTACGGCATTACCTCCGTAATAGGAGGTGCGAAGGCAGCCTACGCAGGCTGCAACGGACATGTGTACCAGCTGCAGGAATCCACAGGCAGCGTGCTCCATCAGAATAGATTGAGCGGCACAGGAGAGGATGAGGTCCGATTGGCACTGGACCCGGCCGCTGCTCATCTGTACGCAGGTACCGATGGGTATGGTATAGGTCTGCGCCCCGACAACCTCGACACCATCTATTCGGTGAGCTTGCCTGGAAGCGGCTATTCGGTTACGGACGTTGTGGCCGGTAACCAAGTGGCCTTCTTCGCTAACAATGGATACGTCTTTCAGCTCGACGTCGCAGGCAACGTCGATGACAAAAACGCTCTTGCTGGGAGGGGCTATTCCGAGACACGCTTGGCCATCACGCTGAATACACCGACGCAGATTTTTGTGGGAATCCATGGATATGCACTCGGCCTATCGTTTCATCCCAAACTGTCCTGACTACATGTTTTTTATCAAGTCTTCTTGTGGCGATCCGGTATTTTTTGCGTTATGGTGATACTTATTTTTTCGACTTCTTGACGTCTTATCTATCATTCGCTTTCGCCCATATACCTCTCTTTATAACGGAGTTTTTTCTGATGATGGTACGTCTAACCTCGAATTACTTGCCTCCCGTTCTACTCGCCTTCTATGGACACTTTGGAGTTCCTCCAGGTATACATATGATTCTCGTTTTTAGTTGATCCCCACTGCTGAATTCATACATGTTACAATAGTCACTCTACCTCTAAATGTGGCGAAACCAAATTGGCATTGCCCTTAAAGTTGCAGCTCCCACTTTCGTCCCGCGTGGCGGAGTAGTTTTTTTATTTAAAATTGGTGCACACTAAAAACTTGTTCCTGCTGTTTTTATATATATTTCCACCACCATCGATTTGGAAACACCCAAAAACGCAATGATACCAATGAAGATTACATCATTTCATCGGAAGGAGTAAGCGCAGATTGTTAGCCCAGAGGTTAAATTTTATTGGTAGCTTGACAGAAGTGCGTAACTCAGTTAAAGTGGGACTGTACGTCGGAGACATCTGTGACACGTTGTGTGGTTGAAGATTCGCTAGTGGCATCAGGGGACTTCAACGCAAGGACCTCCTTCCAGTTAACCATCGCCACCTTCATCACCGTTGCCCATGTCCAAGGCTCGTTCAAATCCGGCTCCGAATTGAAATACTCCCAACCTGCTATCCCTCCGAATCGACCAGCATACTTGCGACCACTGTACTGCTGCAATAACTTCCGCACCGTTGACTTCACAGTATCCAACTCCACCCACCCAGTGCCATTGTCCTTGTTCGTGAGGATGATGGCTACTAACCTGCTTGGGTCCAAGGGACAACCCGTTACGATGGCGTCGTAATCTGTCGTATCCTTCATCGACCCGTAGCCCGAGTAGAATTGAGCGTTATACCAGTCGATGGCATCGCCGTAATTCTTCTCAAGGTCGCTGTAGTTGATACCACTGAAAGGATCCTCCCCGCCCTTGAGCGCGCTGGCTACAGGGGCCAAGGTGATAATGAAATCTTCGCCAAAGTCCGACCTGAGTTGCTGGATGAGCTTTACAACATTGTCGAGGCTGTCGGTTTCTTCGATGTCGAGATCGAATCCATCGAGTCCGTGGCTGGGTAACAACGTGATCAAATCTCACTATCGTCCTCAAGTGCGCATTGGGCATAAGAAAGACTTACTTTGTTATGCACGTCGAAAGCAGATGATAGTAATCGGCAAAGTCCTTACTCAGACTTTCATACGATCCTGTACCTGCTCCACCCAACATGCCCATGACCTTGACGCCGCTTTTCTGCATTTGTGCGACGTCAGTCCACATCTGCGTAAAGGAAGAGTCCTCGGGGGAGACGTCATTGAGGTGGATCAACATGGTACCATCTTTATCGGCAAATAGGTGAAATGCAGCAATGATGAGATGGGTAACGACAGGTGTCAATGGCGTCGGGGAACAGTACTTGTTATTATTGTACTGTGTCTGATAATAGGCGACAACACGATTTAAGGCAGGAGGTACAGTCGAAGGCGGCATTGTCTTGGACAAGGGGGAATGCGTTGGGAAGCACACGGTTGTGATGAAGTTAAATAGCTATGTTTTGCGATAAGCGACGAAGATCGTTATCTTCCACTATGCATCGTGTTTTCCCCAGAGGCCTCATGTTATTTTATGGTCCTCGATCCAAAGGCCACATGTTTGATAAGTGTGGGTTGTGCGGGGACTGCATCTCGACGGCCATCTCCGTCTTAGGCATGGAAACTGAATTCAGCCACTACATCATGGCCAGGGACCTTGCAGGACGTGTATTCGATCTTCAAATTTATTGAAATCGTGGATTCGAACGTATTTGGCAGGGCCCAAGTCGGATTCTGAGCATTGTGATCGATGACAGTTGTAGCGCCCAGACGATTGTAGCGCCCAGGGATGTAGATAAGTCGTCGGTGTGTTTGGGTGAGGCGGTGGTGAACATTGGCGACAATCCGGAAAGTTTAACCAGTTGAACGGCTGACGAATTTTAATATGAGCAAATTGTGAGGCAAGTGTCATCATGAACGCGTACCAAATTGTTCAACAGAACTGCCACGGCCGAGAATGACAATAGGTGTGTTTGCGTAACATTCACTCCGAGGACAACGGGGTATTTCTCAAGGCATATTTCTGGAGCTTCCGATCTCAGGGGTTGAGCGCTGCCGTCTGGACTGTCACGAGAACTTCTCCGGGACCCGGCTTGAGAATGGAAGCCAGATTCGACCTGAAGAACGACAAATGCTGTTGTGCAGACATGTTCTTGTGGGATTACGGTTAACAATGACAAATGAGTTTTATATTCTTAGATCTGAAAAATCGAGGTTGTTGGGTAGTAAGCGTCGGCAATTGATAAGAAAAGGGGAGATGGGACGAACGTTTCCAATAATCAAACATCCATCCGGACAATCAAAAGATACCGAATCCTCCCCAGCGCCCACAGAACGTGAGTGTCGGCGGGATGTGGTATAGCTAAGATTCTGAACGTAATCCGAAAGCCCCGGGTGATCATCAAGAAGGCGCGCAGATGAGTGGATGGCGGCAACGGAGCGAAAGGTCGACAGATGGAAAGATATATTTGCGGCATAGTAGCATGTCTATGATGTGGGTATATCATCCTAAAGAGCAATGATTATCTCTTCAATAAGGGTATGTCGGAATGGGAACCCATAGTTAGGTTGTTGTAATGGTACTCCCTATCTCAGGCCGATGCTGTCCACCGAACCATCACTCGGAACATTCGTAACTTAGTAGAAACTAAGGTGCAAAAGTAAGTATATGAGCCATGAACGTCCTAATCTCCGTACCTTGCCATCTCTACCTCCCCCCGTTCGTTTCTTCGCTATCAGGAGCCGCTTCATCATGCGCCACTCCCCTCACAATTACCCTCGTCGCCATGACCTGCCTCTTCTCATCATCTCTGAGTCCTCCCGATCATTCCGCAGCCTCCGCTTGTTCTCATGCGGTCATCGGCTAAGCGCAACCCCCTATCAACGTAGGAAAATGGGACGCAGGTGGCGGTATAAGCTGGATGGAAAGAACGCGTTGATTTTCGAAGAATTTGAATTGGTGAGGATGGGGGGTGTGTGGCCTTTGCCGTGATGAGCCCGTCGAGTGTTGAGCGGGATGGGACTCGTTTGTCAGGATAGTGTGTTCTTCGAAGTGCCCTTCATCTTTGGAGAGATCTGCACGGATAAAAGATGGGTCTACGTCGCGAAGATACGATTGAAAAGCCACCCACCTCATTATACCGCACTCAGACCTTTTCTCAACGATAATCCTCATTGCCTTCCGACCACTTGCTCGTTTCCGCGTCAACCTCGAACGTCAATGAGCCTTTCCGAAAAGCTGTCGTCGCTGTCGGATCCAGCCATAACATGTGCGTAGTTGGGTTTAGAGTCATCGCTGAGGTTCAAAGGTGAGAAACCGACTCGTCTATGGGAATATAAGTTGTAAAACCACGAGAATGGCAAGGGACAAACCACGGTGCATGGGCACAAACCCAGCGTTTCAAAATACGAGCATGGTGGCGCTGATGAAGGCGGCCGTCATCCTACTCGAGCCCTTCTTGACGCGCCAGCAGAATGAGTTGGCAACAGTTATCTCGTTTCGTGGAAGAGGCATAGTGGAAAGCGCCTTGGGAAGGAGCGCGGCTAGGGCTAAGTGCCCTCAAAGGGCCTGGAGACGAAGATGAGAGGAGCGTTGTTGTGACGAAGCGGACAGAACTATTTCTATGGCAACAGGGATCAGCCAGCTTCAAAATCACGGCTAAGACCGATATTTGTACACTGCCGATCTCAAACAGGTCAGAATGTCATGGATCCTCTCAAAGGCCATGATGATTATGTTACCTCAGTTGCATTTTCTCCTGATGGCAGGCACATTGTCTCTGGATCTGAGGACAAGACAGTCAGAGTGTGGGATGCTCAAACAGGTCAGAGTGTCATGGATCCTCTCAAAGGCCATGATGTTTGGGTTACTTCAGTTGCATTTTCTCCTGATGGCAGGCACATTGTCTCTGGATCTGGTGACAAAACACTCAGAGTGTGGGATGCTCAAACAGGTCAGAGTGTCATGGATCCTCTCAAAGGCCATGATGATTGGGTTACTTCAGTTGCATTTTCTTCTGATGGCAGGCACATTGTCTCTGGATCTGACCACAAGGCAGTCAGAGTGTGGGATGCTTGTGACTTCTATGATATACCACTGTTAAAGTTCTGCCATTATGATTGAAATTGGATCATGCTCCCAGATAATGCACATCCCCTCTGGCTGCCAGACCAAAATAAATCTGGTTTGTTCTGGCCAAGAACAACTGCTTTGATTGGTGCCATTCCAATCTCACTTCAGTTTAACAACTTTGTTCATGGCATAAACTGGAGCCAGTGTCTTTCTTCATTATGTGATCCCATTTAAGAAGGAATTGGACCTGTTGATTCCATTGTCAAATTAAATTGAACATCACATCTTTTGTGTTATTTCATTTATCAACCTATTTTATTTCCCACTTAGATGTATACCTTCTTTATTTATTATATGACATATAATGAGTCTTCTGAGTGTATGCTTCTTTACTACATTCTTGAATTTAACTGGTTACTTCTATTTTGATGCTCTCAGCAATGTTTGAGCTTGAGTGCTTGGGTTCCCATCATACCCCATTACAATACCCACTGTGCATCTGCACAAGAAAAAATTTTAAACCCTATATTCCACCTGCCCATTAATCCATCCCCCATAACATTTCCAAGTCCATATAAAGAGAATCACCTCTGAGTCATAATGCATTCAATGTGTTAGGTAACTGGTCAAAATCATATGAACCTTCAGTGCTCTAAGGTCTAGCACAATGTAGCATGGGATGAAGGTAAACCTCACCATTGCAGCAGCAGCAAGAGAGCCACTGCTGAGGAAGGTGGGACCTCAAATATGTTGATCATCAGCTATCAGCCACTCCTTGCTGTAACCCAGGTCTCTAGACAACTAATTTAGAATCCCTTAGATTTTATGGAGGGGGGAGGGTTTTCAAATGGTTTTATCCCTTTTTTTGAATCAATTGATTTATTGTATAAATAATCTTTCATATTGCTAATTGAATATGTTATTCTATTAGTGATATACATTTAGTGTTTAAAAGTCCGGTCTGGTCCACTTTTTGATGCCCCAGGGCTTTAACCATAACCATAACCAGTCTGCCTTTTTCCCAGGAGTCAAAAGACTGCAGACCATGGTTTTTTGTGGTCTATACACCAGTCTTGGTCTTCTTTGGTTTTACCTGGTTTAAGACCAGTTTTTCGGCCAATATTTTAAAGTTATGAATTGGTAAATTTATTAACGTTTTTTCTAGCTTAAAAAAGAGCCCAATAACGTTAAATTCCATTACAAATTGGTATTTCTATAAAAAAAGTCTGGTACATCTACTATTTTTAATGAAATTTTACATTTTCAACTCTATCTTTGTCATTTTTGAACCAATCAATACGTGCTTGAGTGCGTTTTGAAGGGTATTTAGTGGGCTACAAAAAACCGGTCCTAACCAGTCAAGACTGGTTTTTTGTGGTCTTGGTCTGGTCTGGTCTTTTTCTAGTCATGAGACCAGACTTCGAAACACTATGTACATTTAAAAATATCCTGGAGCCCTGAACACACTTGAATAAGAGTCACATGCATGAGGTCTTTACCTTCCCCAGGTTATTCTGTATGGAATCCATGGAGCCAATGTTGGCTGAAGACCCAGCCAGTTTCTTATTCCATAGATATCATGGATTCCATATGGAATGATCATGGAATGGTTATGGAATGATTAATTCCATATGGAATCCAACACCACTCCCTATGGATTCCATTGGATTCCATTGGATTCCATATAGAATGCAGGCATATCCACATTGATTCCATGGAGCAGTGCATATGAATTCTATGGAAGGAATTAAACCATTAGAATACATATAAATATTGTATTTATAGTGTCCTTACTATATTTAAGTAAAAAATAAATTTTGCACTTATGAGAATTGAATTCTCAACATCATCAATATCAGCAGCACTGAAGCCACCTGAGCCATACAGGCTTTACTACCAAGCAAATTGAAGGTATCTATATACTGCCTTCAGCATGTGGCCTCTCAAACATGACAGCTGTGGCTGAAGCATTGCCACATCACTACTTCCTTCCCACCACCACCATCCACCATGACTGCCTGTGACTCGACGATGACACACAACCACAAGGGGCAAATGGCTTTCGTCGCCAAGTAAAGAGGAGGTAAACAGTAAATAGCTATGTTAAATATTTGATTCGACATCTGTAGCAAAAATGATCAGTTAAATAAGACAAAAAATTTCTTGCTTGTGATCTTTGTGGCAATGAGGGATAAAAAGGAAATGTTGTTGCTGGAGAAGGAAGATAAAGACTAACCCTGATTTGCCCCAGCAACAATGATGGGGCAATTGTTGAAAGCTCATTCTGACATGAGGAAACTGGAACAAAGAAATTATATAATTACCGGGAAAT